TCAAAAGCTCCCCCCCCCCCCCAAAAAAAAAAGTGTATTCAGCATGCATGTTCTTAGCTCACAAGTGCATAACTTTACATTTTTTTAGGTTTTTTCTAGATCTTGACGCTTTTTAGAAAATCAATACCACATTCACTTTTCTCCAGTCATCTGGTACATTTCTCGTTGTTAAAGTGTCCTTAAAATTAGAAACAATGGTCTGGCAATAACCCGACTCAGCTCTTTGTTGACTTGCGGTTGTGAGTGAACGGACTGTATTAGACGTGATGAGGTCAGCAGGGCCTAGAACACCAGAGCCCAGGGGAGAAGAGACTGCGGAGGCCAGTTTAGCAGCCAGGTTGGATTGAGGATCAGGTGAGTATATATAATTTATTTGAGCCCCTAGAGAAAAACAAGCAGTTAACCCTTGCAGTGCAGGGGTAGCCCCACCACAAAAGTTAACTTTTTACATTCCTGGAGTTCCTCTTTAAAAGTTGAGATAGAGTTGCCATTCTGTGACGTCCACTGCTTTTTCTTCTCCAACTCCACCACCAACGCTTTAATGGCACTATAATTATACAGGGAGCACAAGCAGCGTCATAATGTCACCCCACGATACCCATGTTTATGACAATTGGGCTACATAGCATTTATATTATTGTTACACTAGTCAATTAAGACTGAAGTGTTATTAAACAATTCTCCTTGCAACCAGGGCAACGGCACTCAGTTTAGGCCTTGTTCACACCAAGCGCGTTCCAGGAGCAGAGCAGTTACAAAACTGCATCCAATGTATTCCAATGCTATTGTTCCAGTTCACATCGCAGTGTTTTGTTCCAGAGCCGGTAAAAAAACTGCAGCAGGCCCTATTTTACCTGCTCTGGAACGCATGCAAACGAATCAAAAATGCATGCAAGCGCCCTGGAACGCACTGAAATGTTTTTTAACCACAAACAGCCCGGAACGCATCAAAAACGCGGCACAACCCACTGCACTGTGTGTGCAGGAACTCATGCAGATCTGCTCTGCATTTGGTGTGAACAAGGCCTTAAGAACACCTCAGCATTTTCAGCTCTCTGATTACATGAGTAGATTACTGCTTTTCCTAGAAGTCTGTATACAGTGTAAAGCTCCAAGCAAGTGTACTTTTTGTTTTAGGTAGGGATGCACCGATACCGGTATTTTGGTACCGAGTACGAGTACCGATAATTTTTTTCCGGTACTCGCCGATACCAATTACCGAGTAACCGAAGTCCCATTAAGGAAGCCAGGTGGCGTGTAATGACTCACCACCTGGCTTCCTGATTAGCCGGGAAGCCGGGCAGTGTGTAAAGAGTCGCCACCCGGCTTCCCAATTAACAAAAAAGTCCTCTCTTACCTTAGTATGTGCAGCCTGTCATCCCCCGGGGCCTCTCCACCGAGAACACGGCCTTCGTCCGGTACCCAGCCGGAGCCGTCTAGCCGGCCAATCAGGAAGTCGGGCCGTGAGGCCGGCTCCATGCTCTCTTGTCATGAGATGACAAGGGAGCATGAAGCCAGCTTCCCGGCCAATCAGAAAGCAGGGCGTCACGTCATTAGACGGCGCCCGGCTTCCTGATTGGACGGCTAGGGCTGGGTACCGGACGAAGGCCGCATTCTCGCTGGAGAGGCCCCGGGGGATGACAGGCTACACATACTAAGGTAACCTTACCTCACGAGGCCAGCTTCCGGTCAATCGCGAAACCGGGCAGTGTGTAATGACGCACTGCCGGCTTCCTGATATCGGAAGTACTCGTGCTAGGCATCGGAGCATCTGGGCGAGTACGAGTACTTGCCCAAATACTCGGAATCGGCACCTATACAGATGGCAGTAAAAACCTGGCAGATATTGTAACTCTTCCATATGCTGTCAAAATGCAAGATGTTGGCTGGTGTTTCACATTAAAGCCAAGTTGCAGGTGCCCCTGCAGTAGGAGTTTTATTTTATTTTTTTTGCTTAGACTTTCTAAGACTCTGGCACTTGTAAAAGAATGCTGAGGCTGCTGTTTTTTTTTATTACCACACTGAGAGCGATCATGAGGTTATAGTCGAGATAACCCACTTAGCAGTCATTCCAGAGCAGAAGCTGGTAAGGTTATGTAATAAAATGCTTGTGAGGCATATAATTCACTTGCAGTAGATTTTTTTTTTTTCTTCACAAAACTAGAATTTTCTTTTAACAAAACATGTTTGAGTTCTGAAATGCTGACTTCATTGCAAATTATGTTTCACAGATTACCATTGCCCATGTCTACATAAATATGTGCAGTCTATACCAAATTAAATAACATTTTGGCAAGTAACACCTACTCGTTACCATGTAGGTAATGTTATGTGACCAAACTGATGAATACTATTTGTATTATTAACATTGAACTAGAACTCCATTTAGAGCAGATGACTAACTAATAAATACATTGAGGGGAATTTATCAAAGCTGGAGCAGACGAAATCTGGAGCAGATTTGCACTGCAACCAATCAGCTTCTATCTCTCAATTTCAAATCTCAACTGAGCAAACTGAAGAGATATGCTGATTGGTTTCCATAGGCAACTGCTCCAGTTTCTGTCTGCTTCGGTTTTGATAAATTCCCCTCATTATCTGTTTACATTAGCTTTTTTTTTTCTTATGCTATGAGCTCTAGTTGTAATGAACCAAAATCGATCAAAAAAAAGCTTTGCTAATTTGCAGTCATATTTCTATTGGTGTGTTTACACGGCAGTGGTTAGTGCTGTCTTAGCTACAGATATTGCTGACCAGTTTGGTTAAGGGTAGAATGTTGATGGCTAAAAACAAATGTAAAGCAATTCTTTTTCAACCAAGCAGAATCACCTGAAGCAAAATACAGTCACTCTTAAGCGGGTTTGCTCAGGCGTTAGCTCTTAAAGCACATCTAAACGCAAAACTAAAAATGTAATCTATTGCAACTTACCAGTGGTGGCTGCATTAGTTTCTTTTTTTCTTTTATTTCCACCTGGTGATCCGGCACAGTAGAGAGAAAAAAGTAAGTGTTTGGCACACACCATTAATAATGTAATGGGGTTTATTCCTCTAATTAGCGTTCTGTTTAGGCTTTTCTTTTTTTTCTCACATCTCTGACTAACTATGTAATTATGTAATTGGGGAGTGTCCAAAAAGGCTAAAAAGTTGTAGCCTTTAGAACTACTTTAAGGGATGGAAACATATTCTAATTGTTTTTGTCCTTGTTTTGGAGATGGGCACTGTAGCACCTGCTGTGCTTTCACTGATGAGCTCTGATAATAGTATGTAATACATGGGTTTCTTTTATCTTGGCTGTTCTGTAACATAGAAATCTAAGGTTTTTCTTTCTTAATATATACATTTGAGATATACATCAATACTATGTTTCTTCATTATCTTACATTTTAATCATCATGAAATATTCACTAACCGCACAGCTGTTTTGCAATGCTCTACAGCAGATTAGAAATAAAGATTAAATAGCTGCAACGTGTGACCGTTTTTTTTATCTTGAACGTTTACAACAAAGTCAAGAAAATGTTGATGAGAAGAATAGTTGTGCTCAAAAACTTGGACACGCCTGGTCAAACAACATGTTTTGCTGATGTTCTCATTGGAAAGCGAACCCTGGCTGATTTTTAGCAAATTTTAGTGCACTTATTATTTATTGGCTAACGTTTACAGACAATCCATAGTCGGAAGGATTTTTTTTTCTTAACTG